CCATTAAATTTGACACAAATCTCTAGAAAAATCAAGTCTCACATCCATGTGATAATTTTTCTAGAGATCTGTGCCAAATTTAATGATGATCATTTGGGATCCTATACACATGGGTGTGGGATGGACTCATAGGATCATTAATATATATATATATATATTGTGTATGTGTGTGTATATTTAAATATCTTTTTTAAAATATTTTCTCAGAGAGTAATGACATTGTGAGACCCCGACCCAAACTAATTTAGGTTTGAGTCCACATTTTAGACCCGATGGGCCAGATCCAAGATTAAAACCTTGGACACGAGTCGGGTCTAGGTTGGATCCTAGTCCGACCCGACCCATTACCACCCCTAGATTGGTCTATCCAACCTCAGACTTAAAACGTATGCCCCTACGTTGCGCAACCCTAACTTTGGCCCTGGATTTCGTCTTGACGAAGTGGAGCCATCCAGTTCTCTACAATTCATACCGTTTTATTTCTATTTCGTAATTTTTATTGTTTCTATTTTGTATTTACTCTATATAATCCAATAACACCAAAAACTACATTATCATCCGAAGTTTATTATATGGAAAAAGTTTATATAGAGCCGAGGCTCTAAACAATCAAATTAGAGCCACTTCAAAAATTTCACCAAAAAAGGTTGTTTTGATGCTCAAATATCCTCAATTGATCATCTCGACATTAAGATGCATGGGCATGAGAAAAAAATAGATTTCAAGTTTTAGAAATAGTGCATCTTGTAACGTATTTTTGGATCATCAATTTTTAAAATTTTCAAGTTTTTATAGATATGCACGATCTGCACTATTTATATCTTTGAAGCTTTAATTTTTTTAATTAAAGATGAAAATATATTTTAAGGCTATTACAAATGTTTCCAATATTGAAACCCCATTTCTCGACACTATTTCAAGGTGGGCTCTAATTTGATTTTTTAGAGCCATGGCTCTATACAAACCGCACCCTCATATATATGTATAGTTTGTAATCAATCTATCTTGAATGAATACTGATTTGGACGAATATCACTAACCATAATCATATGTGTGTGTGTTAGTTATTGCAAGTCTGATTTATATTTGTCCAATGAGCTTGCTCACAAATTTCTATAAAATTATTGTCAAGATCCTTGCTCACAAGTTTGTACAAGATTATTGTTAGTGATATTCGTCCAAATCAGCATTCATTCAAGATAGATTGATTACATACTACATTTTGATTGGTCACGAATGTATGCATTCAAGAAAGTTGGAGTATAAGCTACGTATTCTTTGTAGGTTACATATGGAAAAGGTTTATGAGCGAGTAGATTTGAATGTTCTTCAAAAGATTATGAGGGTGATGGGTTTTGGATAGAAATTGTGAGGTTGGATAAAAGGCTTTTGTCTAACAATCATTTTTCAATGGAATGCCCAACGGCTTTTTTATACCTAGTAGAGGAGTCAGATTAAATGACCAAACATCCCCCTTTCTTTTCACGTTAGTTGCAGAGGCAATGAGCATTATGCTGAGAAAAGTTGAAGAAGATGGTTTTTCAATGGCTTTAGAGTAGCAAACGGGTTTCTCAATATATCAAACTAGATGATACACTGTTTTTTTGTGATGCTGAAGTTAGCCAAAGCATTCATCTTGACAGATTTTTTAGATACGGAGGTGGTTTTGGGATTGGAATTGCATCTCGATAAAACTCCTATGGTGGGGATTGCTTGCATTGAGGAAGTAGTAAGAAGATTGGCT